TGGAATTTAAATGATCGTTGCTTGCAGCAGATCATGACCTCGAATCATGTTTGTATTTCTTCATTAATCTACACACTCTTTCTCTCTCTGTTGCATTTTGTTTTGTTTTTTCTTCTGAACTTGTTATCTGTACTTCATGTCAGTAGGGAGATGTTGCTGGGCTTACTAGACAAGCACTGTGCTGAGGAGAACGAGAAAGCCCAGTTGGGATTGGACTCGTGTCTCTCTGAATACGACTTCGTGTACCTGCCCATGGATTTCTGGTAATCTTCTCATCTTCTTTTCTGTTTCTTCTGCTGTTTTTTTCTGTAACGAGAAAAGAAAGAAAAACACCAATAACCCTTTGTTTCAGAGGTTGATATTTGTGGATTTTTCTTCTCTCTCCACTCCTCAGGCTTGGGAACAATCTGGGTTACGCTTTTGTGAATTTCACCAGTATCATTGCAGCAGAAAAGTTCTAAAATCGTTCCATAATTACAAATGGAACATGTTTGAATCGAAGAAGGTCTGTGAAATTCGCCAAGCTAAGATCCGGGTGAGCTTCATCTTTCTATCTTTTTCTTTACACATTAAACACTTTCTTCATTTTTTTTTTATTTGGGTTTTCATTAGTTCTATATCACTTTCTTTCTTTCATGCATCCAGTTTTTGTTAATCTGGGTTTGTTTCAATTTCCTTCTGTTTCCATCTGGTTCAGGGAAAGGAAGCTCTTCTTGCGCGTTTCCGGGCATCCAACTTCGCTTGTGATACAGTCCATGGCTGCAGACGACATTCTCCAGATTGAAGGTTGAAACCGACTCCCCAAGCGGCAAAGTGAGAAAACACGAGACAACGACGATGACACCTCCACTTCTTCTTGTTTCCGGTGGCCATCTCTTCTCTCATCGGACTCCTTTGTCCATAGAATCCTCCATTCTTGCTTATTCAGCAAGGGTAGGCGAATCTGAATGATTATCGTTGACAGGAGTCCGGCTTCTATCAGTCGCCAGTGATAGCAGTCCGGCTTCTATCAGGGCAGAGTCCAAAATACCTGAGAGATTCGGTGATGGCTGTTAATCACCGCCGGTTGGAAAGGGAGAGAGTGAGAATGACTGGCGACAGCAGAGTCCGGTGAATCTCGAGCAGGAAACCCGTGGAGGGTTCGGCTTCAGTGAAAGCGTGATGGGTTCGAACACCGTTCGAATATTATGAGAGAATGATACGCGTACATAAGCGCGTGTGCATTCTCATTCATGCGGGGATGGTAAACGAGTGTTTAATATGAACGCCGTTAGCCATACCTCATTGAAAGTATTTTTGTGAAAAACATTTCGTTCGTCTCTCCATTCTTCACCCAAACCATTGGTTCTGCCATCCTCTCTAACCGGCGAAGGCAAACTTCTTCCGGTCACCGGCGATAAAGGTTTAATGTTTCTCTCCCTGCGGTGGTTCATCTGCAACTGGAACCCCAAAAGGCAAAAACATCACCGGCGAAGGCAAACTTCTTCCGGCGACCGGCGACAGAAATTTAGTGTTTTTCTCCCTGTGGTGGTTCATCTGCAACTGAAACCCCAAAAGGCAAAAGGCGTCAACGGCTTCATCTGCAACTTTGTGCTTCTACGGCTTCATCTGCAACGGCTTTCATCTACGGTGGTTTTAAGGCATCAACGGCTTGTGAAATACAGACTCCAAAAACTACCAAATTCCACAAGGCAAAGCTGCAGTTGAGCTTGTTTCAGGAGCTTCAGCTGGGATACAAACAGCAACAGAGCTCAATAAGAGTACGACCTATAACTTGAAATTTGTACTTGGAGATGCAAACGACTCTTATGTGGGAGATTTCATGGATCTACGTCAATGAACTTCACGATGCAGACCAACGGAACCGGCTTGGCCCAAAGCTTCCTCTTGACTTTCAAGGCAGATTCAGCTCTAAGCCTCTAACAAACATCAGCTTCGTTAGCCTAACCACAAGTCAGACAAGAGATTTTGTGTTTGTGGTCCTGTGATCGACAACGTGGTACTCCGTGCTTCATTTGGGCTCAAACCACAAATGCAGAGTTGGGTGCTGTTTTTATGCTTGGTTTTCCTCGTAGATGTTTAAATTATTGAGAAGTAGAGCCAAATCTGAATCTCTTTTACCACTATTACTGTTATTTTTTTTACAAGTTGTTCCTTGTAATTTGGAACTGAATAAATTGATTTTGAGAACTTGGGTAAAGCGTAGCTGGCCTGATTCCTTCGCTAGGTCCAAAAACTTTGTATAAATAAATTGCACTCCTTCAAAGGTTCTGATGGATTGATTGAAAGAGAATGATTGGTTTAGCAGTTGGCTGATGGACATTATTCAATAGTTCTGGGTTTTGGACAAAACAAGTGTCTGGATAATGCGTTAATGCGAATCAACGAGATCCCCACTGAAGGAGTGGAATCGCAGGGTATTAGATATAAATTAGTTCTATATATTGAGACACTGCTTGGGTACCAGTAAGGAAAATCGTAATGTTCTTCAATTTCAAACAAATCTAAAATCTGAACTAATTTCATCGCACGGTTCTGTTACCAATCATCAGAGGATCCATCTTCGATAGTGAATCTATGGTATAGGAATAAAAATCATTTCGTTTCATGTATCGCCTTAACTCTAAACAACGTTTGCTTTGAATTACTGAAGATATGGAGACACTCTAAACAACGTGTGCTGAAAGCCTGAAACAGGGTGATTATCTTCCGTTTCAGAATTTTAGGGACCATGAAATTTACTAGAGAAAAAATGAGGGGAAAAAAGAACGATGATTCAATTATCTGCTCTCTCATTAAGTCATGATTCATGAGCGCACTACCCTATTCATTACTCATCAGTTAGATAATTCAGACAAGTTATTGAATTTCAGTCCATCATAGTGCAGATTTTCCATTTTCTTGTCGTATGAACCCATATCCTCTCTGCACTTTCTCACCCCTTCCATCAACTTGCTTTCGCTTCGCTTTATCGTGATATCTGCACACACGACCAGATCAGACCATCTCAGAGACAGATTTTCAGTATGTTGCTACCTGGACATCCACCTCTTAGAATTTATGATTTTATTGCATCTGTCAGTTACTTTCATGATCCGGGGTATAAAAATTTGCATCAATATCGAAATGATCGAGTAACCATGAATATGATGGCATTGGAGCTCGTCCTATGTCATTATACTATTATAGCACCCAGAATTCAGATCGCTGTTCACAATACTTGATTGGCTTTAACTTTCCCAAAGGAAGTTGGTAACATGCTTGGCATATGGCTGTCAAGCAGAGCCAGAGTTCCTATTTGGCACACCGTAACACATTGGCTGATAGATGGCAAATTAGGCAATAAGCAATAAACACTAAGCAATAATAAAACCACAAACAAATTAAGCAATTCAACAAATCCATAAATGATTTTACATAAGAGAAGAAAAAATAATTAACCCAGAAATGATTTTATAAGAGAAAAAAAATAACCTGGAAATGATTTTAAATAAGATAAGAAAAAAATAACCCAGAAATGATTTTATTATTGTTCTGTTCTAAAATATATGAAAGTAAAATGTAGCCGTTGCAAATGAAGCCGTTGATGCCTTAAAACCACCGCAGATGAAAGCACTAAACTTCTGTCGCCGGTCGTCAGAAGAATCTTGCCTTCGCTGGTGATGTCTTTGCCTTTTGGGGTTTCAGTTGTAGATGAACCACTACAAGGAGAGAAACACTAAACCTCTGTCGCCGGTCGCCGGAAGAAGGTTGCCTTCGCTGGTAATGCCTTTTGCCTTGCCGGTTGGAGAGAATATCATAACGAAAAGTTTGGATGGAGAATGGAGAGACGGGAAAAAAAGAAAACGAAAGGTTTTTCAAAAAAATACTTTGAACGAGGGATGGCTAAGTTTACCGTCTCAGGAATAAGCAATGCACACGCGCTTATGAACGCGTGTCATCCTCTCGTAATGTTCGAATGACCCACGCACGAATCAAAAGACGCATGAAGAATAGACTCTGTTTAATTTATTTTGCACGTATTAAGCCAACGCACGAATCAAAAGAAACATTTCGTGCTGCAAATGGTGTGCGTATATAGCGTGCCTGGACTGAAGCCGAACTCGTGAAAGATGGGAGGTCCCACAAGGAGGGGAGTTTGTTTTTGGCCGGCCTGCCGCCTGCTGGCATTGGCAGGCGCCAGCTTTGCAAACCAAAAAGCCAAAGCATCAAATATATGTAAAAGTTTATTTATTTATATATCGTCATAATAATAATAATACAACTAAAAAATTTTAAAATAAAAGAAAAAAGTGACTATAAATATAGGTTGACTCCTGGATTTACAAATATAGTCCAACTCAATCAAAGAATGTCATTTGCATCCAACACGATTTCAATTCCCAACACTTTTGAGTTTTATTTGCTTCATTGAATTTCTTCTCTTTAATTTTTTCCAATAAAAACTCTACAGCTTTTTTGTCTACTTTGTTTGAATGGGTGAAAAACAAAATTTGTGAAAGAATTGGCTTTTGTGGAAATGGATTTTAGAAAAACCATTTGCTTGAAATTGGGTTCTTATCAATTTGTTTGCTTCAAAAGAAAACAACTTAAAACCCAATTCATTTGCTTTATTGAATGGCCAATGCTTTATAAATTGACCCGAAACTGGAACTTATTATTTTATTTGTTAGTAAATGAAATTAGGGCCTGTTTGGTTCATAATAGTTTGAATTAAATTTGGTATTAGAATCAAAATCCTCGAAATCGGAATGGTTTATTCCCTCAACTGTTTGGTTAATAATCAATTTTTTTTTTCTGGATAAAATAATATTCAATTTAACAACTGACAGACCAGCTGAACTGTACAATGCCGATAATTAGCAGTATTTCAATCCTGTTTCTTTCACATAAAAAAAAGACATAGGGGGTATTATAATAAAACTCGAGGAGGATTCGGAGTTTCGGACAATGGAAGAAGTTTCAGTTTATTTCAACGGTCAATCATGTCATGTTAGGAGACATGGACGACTCTGTAATTTACTTCATATATATTTTTGACTTTTATTTTTTTATTTTTTAAAATGTTGTACTCGACTCTACTTGCTGTTCTTCCTTCCGCACTTGTTAATGCTTCATCATACTACAGAAAAGGTAATGCGATTCTCTTCTAAAAATTCCAACTTCTTTTAGTAAAGTGAAGAAATTATTATCTTCTTTTTCGTAAATAATTCGAGAATCTTTTTTTTTTATGTATTTTTATCTGTTTGTGAAATATATGCAATAGGTAGCTTTTCGCCTTTCGGTGGCAGCCGACTTTTTATTTGTCTGCGTCTAGCCTTTCTTTTATTGGAAAATAAGTTCAGATCCGTCCTAAAATTTCAATCTTTCGGTTGGGTCTTCTGTCTTTTCTTGTTCGAATCTTCCATGAATCAGTTATCTGTTCTGTTGCGAATCGAATGACGTTTTGCCCCTGAATTGGATGTTTGGACTGCTTTTGTTTCTGGATGATCAGGTCAGGGCTTTGATTTCGATTCTTTCCATTATATACATATTTACTGTATATTTTGATCCTGAATTGTGAACAGTTCTTGGTTTAAGATTTTATGCTTGAATTCATTATTTTTTCATATCCTTTAATGGTTAATCTGAATACTTTAGTATTATGTTGCACTGTTGCTTCTGTTGTTTTGGGGTTTTAATAATTTCTGAGGCACTGGTTCATTTGGTTTCTTCAGAATTTTGCTTTGACTTTACTTATTTGGTTTCTTGATGCTGGATTTTTGGTGCTTTCAGTCCTGAGTTCGGGGCAGCATTTTCGGTTTCACTTTTGAGGACTGGAGTCTGTTTTCTTCTGGATGATCGATTTATTTTATGACAGCCATCTCGGGGTGTTGTTCACGCTTAAGCAGTTGTGCTGAGCATGGCTACAGGGAGGATATCTCTTCAAGTTCAGAGGGATTCCCGAGGGTACACAACTGTTTTGGCTTCTGCTGTTCTTGAATGGTTGTTGATCTTTCTGTTGTTCATCAATGCGGCGTTCTCGTACTTGTTAACAAAATTTGCACGCTATTTTGAGTTGCAAGTCCCCTGTGTGCTATGCTCAAGGCTTGATCATGTTTTTGGCAATGAGCAACCTGGATTCTACAAAGATCTAATATGTAGTAAACATAAGTCAGAGATCTCATCGTTGGTTCTTTGTCATATTCATGGTAAGCTTGCTGATGTCCATGAAATGTGTGAAGGTTGCCTTTTTTCCCTCGCTGCAGAGAAGCCCGACACTGAGGCATACAGGTTGTTGGTCGGAAAACTGGGGATGGATACTGAACATTGTTTTGATCAGGACCCACTGATTCAAGAGCCCACTAGTGATTCTCTGAATACCAAACACTGTTCTTGTTGCAATGAGCCTTGGAGGTCAAGGTCTTCCATGCATAAATTTCTCCAGACCAAATTGAATGGGTCTAAGTTTGCAGAATTTGATCTTCCTTTGCCACATTCAATTGGACCTGGTCATTTGCACCATCAGGAAGTCTTGAAGAAGAGAAGGGGGAAATCATCAGGTTCAGTGTTAATCTCTAATCAGAGAGGTCATGGTTTTGACCATTTATCTCATGTAGGATACACTGGGCTCAAGATAACATCTGATTCAGAATCAGAGGTCCATATTTCTGATGATGACAATAATGATGAAATAGCTCTCACTGGTGAAACTGAAAGTCTGAAGGAAGAGTTTGTAGCTCAATGTGTAAAACCAGAGACTCCTATAATTTCAGAGATGTTACCCAAAAGTCTAAGCAATGATTTCATCCCTGAGAAGCTGATTCATCGAGTTTCTACAGCCGACTCTTCACTTTTGGTTCCACATGTGCAACTTGATGGCAAGTATCAAGTTAATGAAACCAATGATATCAGGGAAGACTTCCAAGCTCACTCTTCACAGTCAGAGTCTTTTACCAATTGTTCAGAGAAACTACACAAAGATCCATCTGATGATTTGACCTCACAGAAGCTGATTGATCAATCTTCTGCAAACGAATCTTTATTAGTTCCATCTGTGCAACTTGATGAAGGTGAACCCTGCAAGGTGGAACCTTCATCATCCAGTGCTATAGAGCATGGTTTAGAGGAGCTTAACTGGCACCAAGTTGAAAGGAAGGCCAACCCTTCTGCACCACCTGAGCCTATCTCACCAGATGTTGTTACTGCATCATCCAATGCTGCTGAAGCTCCTACTGACATATCAGGGGCTAATTGTAAGTGTGTGAGATCCTCCCGTTCTCATTATCTCTTCATCTCTCTCCCTAATGCACTAACGTTTAAAATTTTTACTTTGTTTTTTCTTGTATGAAATGGCATCTTGCAGTAGATGTTACCGGAACTAGTGGCATTGAGAAAACTCCTATTGCAGAGGGTACAACAGTCTGTAAGCCAGAAAATGTGCTGACAACAGCTACCGAACAATATTTAAAAGCAGACCAGATTTCAAATGATCCTGGTTCAACAGTGCTCAATTATATGGATCTTAGTGATGCTTACAAGTTGGCCATTAGTAACAGGGGAAGTCAAATATCTGGTATGCTTGAAAAACAACTTAGTGGTAAGGATTCCTCAAGAGTTAGTGAAGATCTCAAGCTGTTATTGTCACAAATATCTGCTTCTCGAGGGCTTGAGTTACCATTTAATGAGATGAGTCCTCGAGTATATGGAATTGGCGATGAATCAAAGATTTCAGATTCTTCTAGCTATGCAGGAATGCAGATACTCCAAAAGAGAATCTCACTGGAAAGAAATGAGTCTGGTCTTGAGTCCTGGGATGGAAGCATTATCAGTGAATTTGAAGGTGAAAGCATTGTTGATCGCTTGAAACGACAGGTTGAGTATGACCGGAAATCTATGAGTGCTTTGTACAAGGAATTGGAAGAAGAACGGAATGCTTCAGCAATTGCTGCAAATCAAGCAATGGCTATGATTACTAGGTTGCAAGAGGAGAAAGCAGCACTTCATATGGAGGCTTTGCAATACCTACGAATGATGGAAGAGCAGTCAGAGTATGACATGGAAGCACTGCAGAAAGCAAATAGCCTCCTTGCTGAAAGGGAGAAAATGATACAAGATCTGGAAACAGAGCTTGAATTTTATAAGAAAAAGTTCCCAACTGATTCCGTGGTGGAGGAAATACAAGAACAAATTTGTGATTTAAAGGGAGGAGACATGAGATTGGAGCATTCAGATCTAAGTGGCACAGAAACTAGCACTACAGTTTCTTGTAATTCAACATTTATTAAGAAATGTGAAGGTAGTGATAATCCTGAAGGAACTGATTTGGTGCATGGAGATAATGACATGATCATTACCAAGGACCCATTATTAGATTTTGAAGATGAAAGGTTGTACATATCTCAGTGTTTGAAGAAGTTGGAGAAAAAGTTGTATCTATTTTCTAATAATGGAGTTCATGTTAGCATGTGCAATGGTAGTTATTCTGGAAGTGAAGCACATGTTCTGGAAAAGCTTCATAATGAAAAGATGATCCAGGGATATGTACAAGAAGAGGTCAACTCATCTTTGCAGAAAGATCAATTTCTATCCAGAGGAAGTCCTCCTGCTGAAGAAAGCTCTAGTCCCTCTTTTGGGGACCCTTTATTTGGCAGCAAAAGCAATCATCATGTTGATGGTGATGGGGAACATTCCTCCATTGTTGGTAGAGAGACTGATTTAATTGCTTTTGCAAATGAAATGTCAGACCTGAATTACAGGTTGGAATCATTGGAGGCTGACCAGAACTTTCTTGAGCACAGCATTAATTCACTTCAAAATGAGGATGAAGGTTTGCAATTTATTCAGGAGATAGCTCATCATCTACGAGAACTGCGGAGGATTTTGATGAGAAGAAGAGGGCAAGCTGTTGCTTGAGTCTTTTGTTCTGACGTGTTGAAGGTGAATATTCAGTTAACAAATCTGTTGGAATTGGTTTTATTTTATTTTATTTTTTGGTACAGCTTCCATGGATATAAAGTCTATTCTTGTCTATTCGTGAATTTGATTCATTGAAAATATACACAACTACTTTTAAGTTCAGAAATTCTGATCTAAAAGCACATAATTCAACTTTTTAGCTTATGGATTTTGAGAAGCAGAACTGTTGTGGTATCTTCACATAGTTCAATGAAAAGCTGTTTTATATCTTTTTCTTAATGGGTAGTATGATTTGTTTAGCTCTCCGTTGGCTTGTTATATTGCATGTTTAGATTTAACTTGCTTCCATACTCATTTCTTCTTAATCAGATAGGAACTTCCTTGAGCAGATTATTTCTTTACCTTTTCATAATAAATACTTGATAGGAATTTACTCCCATCTTTCTCTTGATTGTTGTATTACCTCTTTATGAAATCAACAATATAGCTATTATTATTTAACCATGTATTCTTAAATGTTCCAACATTTTAGCTCATGAATCCTTTTTTGGGGAGGGCGATACAAGGTCTAGGGGATAATTTTTGTTTTTTAATGTTTAAAATATCATTGTTTAGATTTCTAAGTTTTCCTTGTACTTTTCAATAATTGATTGATTCCTTGTTTCCGATACACAACTTCTAGTTTTTATCATTTTTCAAATTCATAGGGTGGTTAAGAACTTTTTTCTGGGTTACTGCATGGGTGATTAGGCTTTACCTGTTTATCCTTCTACAACATTATAAACTTCTTTTCTACTTTATTTATTTATTTTGTGGTTTAGTTTCAATCGGAGAATCTTCTATTTTCATAGGGTAGAACCTCCTTTGTTGCAGGGTTTCTCTAGGAGATGATGTTCAATGTTACAAGGGAAAGTTCCTTCTTGGTTGATTCAATTGCTAAGTATGAATGCTAGACTAGATTGAGGCTTAGAAGAAATGCAACTTTCTCTTCAATGAAAGCACTGGAAAAAATTGTCTTGTATATTGATGAAGCATATACTTATCAAAGAATCCTTAAAGATGAATTCAGCCTTATTTTTATCTAGGATGGTATGAAAAGTTGGTGATTTTCCAAATTGTTCCCATGACAAGTTGGCATTACTTCGATAAAGAAACATGCCGCATGGGATACCTAAAAATGTAGGACTGATAGCTTTGATAGTAACTGATGTAGGACTGCTTACTCTAATACCAATTCATGTAGGACTTGAATGAATCAAGGATGAGTCTAGGAGGGTTAGGATTAGGGGTGATCATTTTCAGGCTGGCCTGGGCCTAATACTTCAGGCCCAGCCCAGCTCGCATATATTTGATTATATATATATATATATATGTACATATGTTATTTTATGTTACATATTATAATTTAATACTTACAAGTTACAATACATATTTTATATTACATAATGTATAAAATAATTTTTGTGTGCATGTTATATGCCATATAATATAAAATATTATGCATATGTAGTATTTTATAGTTTATACATAAAAAACATAGGTCGGGACTCGGGAATAAGGCCCGGACCGTGCCTAGGCTATATATCACCCCTAGTTAGGATGGGATTAGAGGTGATTATAGGATCAAAAACAGAGATTGGTTAGGTTAGAAAAAAGGACTTGGGGCTTAATCCCGATAACTACAAATTTGTCTCAAGATTGTCAAAAACTTCAAAATAAGGAAAATAGGTATAGGATAGGAAATTTTCAATAAAATTCATAGGTAAGATTAGAATGGATAATTGTATAGGACCAAAGGCAGAGATTGGTTAGGTTAGAAAAAAGGTCCTGGGGCTTAATCACAAGAATTGCAAATTTTTCTCAAGATGGTTAAAAATTTCAAAATAAGGAAAATAGGTAGAAGATAGGAATTTTTCAATAAAATTCATAGGTTAAATTATACTGGATAATTCTATACGGTGGAATTTCATAAGCTGTAAAATCTTAAATAAATTTCATTCATTCATCATTCCATGTTTTGGAATTTTATAAGACAAATTACACACCATTGGGGTGGCCAATCCTACTAGAACTAGGAAAAGATGAAAATTGCAGAACTGCCACTATCATTAGAGAACTCAAATAACATTTGAAATCTAAGCTAATTAATCAATGATGATGATCCATGCCTTATCCCAACTATATGGGGCCGGCTGTTGTCTAAAATGACCAGAATGACCAAAATTCCCCTATTGTCTAAAATTGCAAAAATACATATTTAGAAAATTCTAGTTTTGACTCTTTGGCTCTTGCATCACTTGTAGGTCAAGGACTCCACTATCTTCATACATGCTTTCCAGTGCTGAGTCGAGTGTTATGCTTCTGATCTCCTCCCTCATAAATCTAGTGTTCATGGGATAGATATCCTGCTCTTGTTGAAATTGCTATCAACCCTGAGGTATACCTGACAAGTGAGAAGAGTCAATTATACTTGTTGAGAATATGTAGCTGGCATGGAAAAGTGATGGGAAAATGCACTAGAGCAGCAGTGGCCTGGACAATCTGGGAGGAAAGAAATCTGAGGATATTTGATGATAAGGAAAGAGGTAGGGATGCTGTGATTGAAGTGATAACTATAAGGGTGGCACATTGGGTGAAACTTTGAAAATATTTGCAGATTTTAAGACAGAAGATTTCTTCAGGTCATGGGGAACAATTGCAAATTTGGCTTCTAGAAGACCTATTGTAACTGAATCTTGGTCCCCTCCGGATGTTGGGTGGAAGAAACTAAACTTTGAAGGGAGCTGTTTGGGAAACTCTGGCCCATTGGGCATTGGTGGGGTAATAAGGGAGGAAAATGGAAATATCATTCCCATGTTCTCAGGCCCTACCCAGCATGGTGATGTGGTGAATTCAGAATTGAAGGCAGCAATGTTTGGTGTTGAGAAAGATAAAGAGTTGGGGATTAACAGGTTGATTATTGAAGGGGACTCAAAAGTTGTTGTAAACTGGCTGAAAAAAAGAGAAAGGAGCAATCTGGAGATTAAGAAATGAGTTCAGGCACTTTAAGCAGGCTTTTAAAGATATAGAAATTCACATAAGATGGATTAGGAGGTCAGCTAATAGCATAGCTGATGGTCTAGCTAAGCAAGGAGTCCAAAGGCAATCTATGTTCTGGGCTATGTTGTAGCTAGTGGGATATCCCTTGGGTCCTTTTGGGGCTTGTTTGTAACTAATGAATTTCTTTGTTGCGTTAAGCTTGGGTCTGTATTGTAATTAGTGGGCGTTTAGGTAGTAGGGTGGAAGAGAAATTATATCTCACTAGGGGGTAGAATCACTTTAATCAAGTCCACTCTGGCCAACCTTCCAGTGTATTTTCTGTCTACCTTTAAGATTCCTGCCAAGGTTGCCAATAAGTTAGAAAAGCTCATGAGAGATTTTCTATGGGAACCGAGTTACTCAAAAAAGGACCATTTAGTGAAGTGGGAAGTAGTTTCTAGGAAAAAGGAAGCGGGGGGGGGGGGGTCTAGGCATTGGCAATATCAGATAGAAATGTAGCTTTGTTAGGAAAGTGGTTGTGGAGATTTCCTTTGGAGCAGGATAGTTTGTGGCACTTGGTGGTGGAAAGTATTCATGGGATAGCAGCTAATGGATGGGATGCTGGCATCGACCCTAGGGCTTCTCATTTCTCCCCTTGGAAAGCAATTGCTAGAGTCTTGTCTTCCTTTCAGCCTTTCATCAGATTTGATGTATGCTCAGGTAATAAAATTTTGTTTTGGGAGGACCTTTGGATTGGGAACACCCACCTAAAGGATAGCTTCCCTGTAATGTACTCTCTTTTCCTAAATAAATTCAAAACCATCTCCTCACTTTGTGTGTTTGAGGAGACTTGGGATTTTGGTTTGAGAAGAGGGTTGAGGGATTCAGAATTGGCTTCTGCAGATGGGTTATTCATTGTGTTGAATTCAGTTTTCCTAGATCTTTCCTGCCTAGATAGTAGAATTTGGAAAGAGTCCTCTTCAGGGACTTTCTCTTGTTCATCTTTTTTCAATGCCTTACTTCAGTCTTCTTCTATGTCCGTCTCTTTTCCTACTAAAGAAATCTGGTATTCTCTTGTGCCGCCAAAGGTCAGGGCTTTTTGCTGGGAAGTGGCTCTTCAAAAGATCAATACTATGGATGTACTTCAAAGAAAAAGGCCACATTGGAGCCTTTCCCCACATGTCTGTTACCTTTGCTTAAGAAAATGGTGAGACGGTGACTTATCTTTTGGTTTCTTGTCCTTTTGCTTATTATTTATGGGATTGGTTCTCTTCTTTGTTTGGTTACGGATGGAACCTCCCCTCAGGTGTGCTAAACCTTTTTGACTCTAGCTTCTTCCGACAACCAAGGAAAAGGGGCAGGGTAATGTGGAGAATAACAAGAGCTGCCATCCTATGGTCAATTTGGGAAGAGAGAAACAATAAGATCTTCCTAGGGCAAGAAAAATCCAAGGAAGCACTTGTGGAGGTTGTCACCATCAAGGTTATGCATTGGCTGAAAGTATATTATCTCTTCAAGGATTTATCCTCAGTGGACTTAATTAGAAATTGGAGTGCTATAGCTTTATCCTCGCCTTCCTCCCCTGTGGTACAAGATTGTTGGGTAGCACTGCCTCAGTTCAAGGTGAAACTAAACTTTGATGGAAGCTCCTTAGGTAATCCAGGTCAGTCGGGAGTTGGGGGTGTGTACAGAAACGAGGAAGGGAAAGTCTTGGCCCTTTACTCGGGCCCAATTGGGGTGGGAGATTCACTAATGGCAGAAGTAATGGCCTTACTTCAAGGTTTGAAACTGGCAAAACAATGGGGAATGCAGCAATTAGAAGTGGAAGGAGACTCCAAGCTGGTAATAGGGTGGATGCAAACTGGAAATTTGGGAGTTTGGTCTCTTAGACAGCTTCTAAGAGAGATTATTAGCTTAGCAAGGGTTATTGGGGTGCATTTTAATTGGGTAAGAAGGTCAGCAAATGGAATAGCTGACACTTTAGCTAAGCAAGGAGTTACTAG